CTCAAACCTCTTATTGAAAACACCGGTGGGAGTAGAGGCGGCAGCGGGACAAACTCCCAGTCTCACAGGAGAGTTCATTGGAGAGAGCCACACGGCCCCAGGACATATACAAGCCCACCCACTTGGGAATCAGCACCAGAAGGGCACAATTTGCTTGTGGGTAGCAGGAAAGTCACTGAAAATGATCAGAGAGTGGAGCAAGTGGCATTGTTCTCTCTTGGACCCCTGCCCCGCAGACAGCATCACAACACAGCAACATAAGTTGCCCTGCCCTGGTGAACACCTAAGGCTCCGCCCCTCATACATAACAGGCACAACAAGACAAAAAAAAAATGGCCCAAATGAAAGAATAGATCAAAGCTCTAGAAAAAATACAACTAAATGACAAAGAGGTAGCCAACCTATTAGATGCACAGTTCAAAACACTGGTAATCAAGATGCTCACAGAATTGGTTGAATATGGTTGCAAATTAGATGAAAAAATGCAGGCTATGCTAAGTGAAATAAAGAAAAATGTACAGGGAACCAACAGTGACAGGAAGGAAACTGGGACTCAAATCATTGGAGTGGACAAGGAAGAAACAACCAAACAGAAAAGAATGAAGAAACAAGAATTTAAAAAAAATGAGAGGCTTAAGAACCTCCAGGACATCTTTGAATGTTCCAACATACAAATCATAGGGGTGCCAGAAGGAGAAGAGCAATAAATTGAACACTTATTTGAACAAATAATGGAGAACTTCCCCAATCTGGCAAAGGAAATAGACTTTGAGGAAGTCCAGGAAGCTCAGAGTCCCAAACAAGTTGGACCCAAGGGAGCACACACCAAAGCACATCATAATTACATTAGCCAAGATCAAAGATAAGGAGAGAATCTTAAAAGCAGCAAGAGAAAAGGAGACAGTTACCTACAAAGGAGTTTCCATCAGACTGTCACCTGATTTCTCAAAAGAGACCTTACAGGCTAGAAGGGGCTAGAAAGAAGTATTCCAAGTCATGAAATGCAAGGACCTACATCCAAGATTGCTCTATCCATCAAAGCTTTCACTGAGAATGGAAGGGCAGATAAAGTGCTTCCCAGATAAGGTCAAGTTCAAGGAGTTCATCATTACCAAGCCCTTATTATATGAAATGTTAAAGGGATTTACCTAAGATAAAAAGTATGAACAGTAAAATGACAGCAAACGCAGTTAGTAACAACCACACCTAAAACAAAAACAAACTAAGCAAACAACTAGAACAGGAACAGAATCACAGAAATGGAGATCACATGGAAGGTTATCAGAAAGGGAGTGGGAGGAAGAGAGAGGGGGATAAAATACAGAGAATAAGTAGCATAAGTCATAGGTGGCAAATAGGGGGAGGTTAAGAATAGTACAGGAAATGTAGAAGCCAAAGAACTTGTATGTATGAACATGAACTAAAGGGGGGAAATGTGGGTGGGAGGGAGTGTGCAGGGTGGAGGGGAATAAAGGGGAAACATGGACAACTGTAATAGCATAATCAATAAAATATATTTTAAAAAGTTTTCAGTTGTCTTGATCAGTCACATGATTACTTAAGAAAATGGCTTTCTGAATCTGAAAACTGTAAATTTTGCTAATCTTCATTTTTCATATCTTTTGTCAGTTTGGGTAAATAATTTAATATTCATAATGACTTTTTTTGGTCAAGTGTGTTTGACATTTTCTAGAGTTCAAATTTTAACAGGACACTTTTTTCTTAACCTAGAAATAGTTTCCAGTTGTTCCAATGGATGGATGCCTGCAACACCTCACATCATTTTTTCTTTTGTCCTTGCAAGGGAGAGGTTTTAAACTTATTAGGACTATTTGATGTCTGAATTGCATAAGCTTTGTCAAGGAATAGTTGTATTTGTGTGCATATACCCTTATTATTACAGGATTTATATATTGTAGATAAAAATCTCCAGGACTCTACATAATCTAGATTATCTTAAAATGTTGTTACAGAAAAGCAAAGTTCTTTGTCAATTACCTTATAACCAGGTCTATAGCCTTGTCCTTTAGTTTTGTCATTTATAGACAGTTATTGTTTTATACTGATGCTTTTGCATATTTCATCTTCAGATTTATACAAAGAACTCTGACTTAAGAGTTTTCTGAGAATAAATTTTCAGATTATGCCTTTAAACTCAGTGAAGATTTATAAAGCTCTAAGGAATAACTGGATTCAGGAACTGCTGGCAAAGGATCAACATAGACAAGAATTATATGGTACTGAATGAACTGAGGATGATTATAATTTTTGTAACTTTTTGTTGAAAATATTGCTAATTCTTAACCTTTTTGTTTCTCAGATATAAGAATACTGTTTTTCTCCTAAACTACCTTGATTTACAGCAATTTGGAAAACTATACCTTTGTAAGCAATATTGAAACATATTTGTCTCCCTACCTGACCCCTCTAGAAGTTTGGAGACTGAGTATTATTTTCACGGCAATATGACTTACATAAATTCAATAGAAGCATGTTTTTATAACAGGACACAATTGGAAATTAATTTATTACCAAGAATTTGACTGGAATGTCATATTTGATAGAGACATGCAGAGACTCTGGATGTCATCAGAGGTTTAAGGAATTAATATTGACTTTGAAAGCCAATAAAAATCCCACTGGAAAAACAGCTGAACCTAGAACAGCAAGTACTTTACTTGCATGGTTCACAGCGGTTCTTCCAGGTAAGGAATTAAGGTTGCTTTCCTGGGAGATGGCAAAATAAGAACCTGAGAACATTTGGGGGAACCTCAAGAACTTGAAGAATCCACCTGAACAAGTAAGTATTGCAGGGAAATGCTGATGGCAACTATACAGCTTGGCTTCTCACCCCTGGGAGGTGAGAGTTCAATTTGGAGATTCCTTATGAAATTCCAGCAGAGTGCACTTAAAACAGCCTATATGATCAATTATTATTCTTGTCATATGTATGCAAATAACAGGCCAAGTTTGTTGAAACTAGACTTACAGTTAGTCTTAACTTGGTTATCTTTGATAAAATGAGGGTGATTTTAGAGAGAAAATGTTTCAATAGAAAACATAATGTTCATTTGTAGATATTAGATCCTAGTTCAGTTGTCATTAACATCTTATTTTTCATCTGTAGACCAGACTGGATCCTGAATTTTTCTCATGAAAGTATTTGGCTACAGTCCTCTGAACTAGTGCTTCATTTCCCTCCCATCCTTTACCTTCGAGTTATTGAGAACTGAAACTGTTTTTCTTTTGGCCTTGGTGTGGCATACAACATAATGTAAACTTCTGAGAAATCATCGCAACAGCTTGTACTTGGATGGCTTTGGTGACTGATACTGTGTAAGGCACACAGGGAGCTTGTATAAGGACGTTCATCAAGGACTTTCGAACTGCAGGCCAGGGGAGTCTGTCCAACTGTCACGGCTTCCCTTCATTCTAACAAGAAAAGAAGCTATGAGCCTCTCATAGGTCTTCTCTACTGGCAGTCTTAAAGACTCAGGGACTAGATGTGGTGTGCTCTGAGTACTTGGGGTACAGGTATACTGGCCTAATGCTTCATCTACCATCGTTGTGGTTCCTGCTTATAAATTCAACTAGAATACCCCTCTAAGACACAGGGACCATAAGGGAAGAGGTGAGCATGTGAGAGTTTAAGAGCCAGATAAGAGAGACACAAAAGGCAGACAAATGTGACTCCATCTTATAAGCTAATCCTCCCTTGATTAGCTTGGACTATTGATTGAACCTGGCCCCAGTTGCCCTATATTCCTCAAGATTGAGGAATGATCAAAAGAAAAGGGGGAGATTGTAAACATGCAAAAACTTCATTTAATATGACCTCTTCTCTTCTTTCCTCTTTGATTCAAACTGTCTTCATCCATCATCCTGACTCACCAGCCTCCTCCTTTGCACATGCAATCCGGATCATTCCACCCTCATGATGATGAGGTTCTGATCAGTATCAAATAATCTTCAGAACAAAGCCTCAGGTCTGTTGACCACAGAGATGGTTTCGTCAAACTAATAACATCTAGGTCTCAACTGTTTCAGTTCCAGACCCAGAGAAGTGGTGAAACCAGATGAAGCAATGCCATTTCCAACATAAAGATCCAATGCACCAACCAATCAGTAAAGATAGTGACCTTAACTCCCTCAGTCATCATGTTTAATGATCTCCCCCCATATAATCGGTCCCGCAGAAACCATCGATTAGCCAGGTCTTTGAGCATTAGCTCACCTGTGACTGACTCCCAGCACAGGCCACTTCCTGAACTAATAACCCTTACTTTCTTTGTTGCAAGGTCCTGTTCATGTCTTACTGAGCCTTTTCTTTTTTTAAATGTTATTGACTGCGGAGAGTAAAAGAGAAAAGAAAAACATCAATTTGTTGTTCCACTTATTTATGCATTCATTGGTTGCTTCTTGTATGTGTCCTGACTGGAGATCAAACCTGCAACCTACGCAAAAGGGGATGACGCTCTAACCAACTGAGCTACCTGGCCAGGGCTTCTTACTGGGCTTTGATGAGTGCAGGCGGCAAATGAACCCATTTAGTCCAGTGACAACACCAAGTGGGTTTGGAATTCTACAGTTTAGCTACTATTTAATCCTGAATGAGCTCTATATCTTCATTTATCTACCTATCGAAAAGTCTGTTTAGACCCTGGCTGGTGTAGCTCAGTGGATTGAGCATGGGCCTGCAAACCAAAGGATTGCGGTTCCATTTCCAGTCAGGGCACATGCCTGGGTTGTAGGCCAGTTCCCAGCAGGGGACCCGCAAGAAGCAACCATACATTGATATTTTTTTCCCTCTCTCCTTCCCTTCACCCCTAAAGATAAATAAATATATATTTTTAAAGTCTGTTTACTTTATAAAAATGTCATGGCACATCACCAAAAAGCTAGATATTTTCAGAAAACAGAATTTTATTTATAGAAAAGTCACAAAGATTAACACAATTTCATTAGTAATAATCAACAGAAACAAAAGTGGTTTAATATATATCACTTGATATGATACACATTAAATGAGTTTTCTATCTACTACCTTTAACCATTTTTAATATTTTCAGTTTTTAACAAATCTAGAAATAAGGCAGTATACACAGAATAGATTTACTAAATGCTTTTGAATTATGACTCATTCTACATCAGATATTAAGTCAATTTTAAAACCATCTCCATATTAAGTGGCCTTTCAGTTATAATGCCTAGATCTAAAGGAGGTAAGCAGCAACTAGAACTCAAAATACACAAAAGAAACTCATACATTTTTGAAAAATTTATGACATTAGCAATATCATAATTCAACAAAGAAATGTCCAAGATTAATGCCAAAGCTAGGTATATTAAATATTTTATAATGATTAAGTCGAGAATATTTTTACTTGCATCCTTGTCCATCCAGTTTAATACACCAAAGAACTGACCCCAGTGGAAAAGGACCCCTTCTGAAGTGAATAGGAGATGGCAGCTTGTGTCATTTTAAGGAGAAAAGGAATATGGATAATGTGCTTTGATTTGCAAATAATGTTCTTTACCCAAGTAATACTCAGTGTTCCCATCATCTTTGAAGACAAGATTCTTTAAGTACTGTGTGAAAAAGAGACTACCCTTTTACTGATGGAAAGCTTCTAATCTTATTCTTGTTGGATCTTCTGGATGTCTCAAGGCAATCCCATTTCGAAGCAGCAGCTCAATATAGGGCGGCCAAAAAGAGTCACTAATTTTGACGTATGGATCATGTGGAACATCAAACAATCTGTTTAAAAGAATCTAGGGGAAAAACATCATTCGAAATATAACTTATTTGGGGAAAAATGATACAACTATAATAAAACATTAAAATAGTTTTTGTTCTCCAAAGAATGTTTTTATTTCATTGAATAATTGTTTATATCATAATTTCTATGTTTTACTAAATAACTGATTTTTTTTAAAGACTACAAATATTAGTGAATAGAAAAAGGTTTATAATGAATCTCTACATCTAACTTTGGAAACGTTTCCTAGAAACTGATTAAAAAACATTTACAATTCTCTCACTTCTCTTGGAGTTAATTCTTTAGCTTAGAAATTTGATTTTAAAAAGTTCTTAACCATACCTTAAGAAACTTAAACCAATTAAATACTCAACAAAATATGCTAAAGTTCAAAAAACATGCATGCCTTCATTTTGAAGGAAAAAGAAATCACCGACTCTGTGCTTCTGATAAACCTAGGAAATGATCCTATAGTCATCACGTCCTTCAACTTCATCTTGACTATCTTTGATTTCTTCACCAAGGATGTTGAGGGGTTACAACCCCAAACAGAAGCTTCAGGTATTTGTAGTAAATTATATAGACTAACATTTCCCAGATTGTATTCCACTGAACTGATCTTGCTAAGGATGTTCTTAGTCTTAAAAAACTGGGTTCTACTGTAACTGGGTTCTACTGTAAGCTGGGAAAAGATGGACAATGTACACCAAGAATCATCTCTCTTTTCCGGATACACTGGCATTAGGAAAGTTTTCTCAAGAAATAGATAGTTGAAATACTATGAAATATACAAAAAATGCTAAATGTATTATCAATTCAGGCCAAAGCTTTAATTGAAAAATATTATTTTAAGGAATGTGGGGGGGGGAGTATAATTTATAAAAGTATTAAGTGCCATAGCAATAAAGTGCAACTCAACCATATTTCATGATAACATCAATAACTCAAATCTTTAAAAAATTTTTTACTGATTTTAGAGAAAGAGAGGAAGGAAGAGACAGAAAGAAACTTCAACTTGTTGCTCCACTTCCTTATACATTCAATGGTTGATTTTGTATGTGCCCTGCCCAGGGATCAAACCCACAACCCGGCTCCTGCACTGACACCCTGACCAACTGAACTGCTTGACCAGGGGAATATTTCAGTTCTTGAAATAAAATTTTCATCTATAATTAACTTCCACTATTTCAAATATACATCCTGGGAGAAAAAAATCTTTTGGTCTCTTTCTTTTAGGTATGAAAAAGTATTAAATTTTATTCCTATTTTTAAACAATTGCCTATTTTAATGTCATTTAAAGTCTTTCTTACCTTTCATATCTAATTCTAGTAGATGCCAGAATTAAATGCTAAAAATTCAACTTTAAAATGAATTTTTAAAGTTGTTTCATTTCATACATTCATTTTCTGCTAAACTGCAGCTTACACAGTGGTTACTTCTGTTATTGATAATATAAGTAGAGACAAAAAATGGTTTTTAATTTACATTTAGATGGGATCTCATAATATACTACTCAAAAATTACACATGTATTTCCCAGTTAATCCCTGTCAATGTCTGCCACAGATATCGCAGCTTTTTGTTAAAGTAAACAGTAGTTTCTTAGTTTCAGAAACTGGAAATAATTAGAAATATGTTAAAAGATTCTAATCACAAATCTAATAAATACTTGTATTTTGCTTTCAAAGCAATAATATTCCATATTAAGATATCTTGAGGCACCAAAACTACTTAGCTGGATAAAAATAGAAACTCAGTATCCAATTCATAAAATTACAATGAAACAAGTTTAATATCACTCTCATAAACTTGCCAGTGAATTTAAAGACACACTAATTGTTAAAAATCTCTCCCTTCAGACTGTTTTACCTTCCTCTCTGCCCAATTTGCAATGGACTGTCATACTGAGATTTCTAAAATATTAACATATTTGCTAATTGGCTGAAGTTCAATCTTTTTTTTTTTAAAGATCAAAGGCATTTGTAAAGAATGGTAAATTTTAAGTAGAAAAAGGTATTTCTTTATCAATTCTGTAGTTGCTTGGAATTGCTCAGTCCTCACATTATTAAAAAAAGAGGCTAATGTTATTTAAGGAACAATTATGCATGGATTTCTGCAACCTTGTTGAAAGAATCCATACACTCAATGTATTTTCAACAGAATTCACGGTTGCCAACTAAAGATACCACCAATGTAACAGCAGAGAGTTTCATTGTATAAATATTAAACATCATAATAAACATCTTCTTAAGATAACAATATTGGGGATATGACTGAGCTTTAGACTCTAATTAGATGTTCTTTTAAAAAATGACAATATTCTGCCCTAACCAGTGGGGTCTGGTTGGGCATCGTCCTGCAAAGCTAAAAATCACCAGTCGATTTCCGTAAGGGCATATGCCTAGGTTGCAAGTTTGGTGCCTGGTCAGGGTGCATATGAAAGGCAATGGATCCATGTTTCTCTCCCTCTCTTTCTCTCTCCCTTCCCTCTTTCTAGAAAATAAATTTTAAAAATATTTTTAAATTACAATATTTTTTCTAGTACTATATAGAAAACAAAAACGAATTTAATATTAAAGTCAAATTAACATAAATATATCTAATAAAAATTGGTACATACCTTAAGAACTAAAGCAGTATTTTTTCAAGCTTACGTAAAAGTGTTCACAAATCACTAATTAAGAGACATCTTCAAGACAACTACACAAAACACTTACCTCTAATATTTCATGCAGTGTTATCAGGTGTATAGTTGATTCTGGAATATTTTTCTTTGAGAAAAACATGAATAAAAAGAACTAACACTTCAATTTTGCCAATGGCAGAATATTTAACTATGTTTATTACAAAATTAAAAAATTAATATTTAATTGCAAAGGTATAACATATATTAAAACCAAACATTTATAATTAGGTGATTTAAAAAGAATTCTGAAAGTAAATAAGTTGCTTGTATTAAATAGCTTCATAAAAACACAATTAAAACAACCTCTAAGGCAGTGAAATCTTTTGCTGTTACTAGAAGACACAATTCAGACTATCTATAAATATGAAATGGATAAGTTATGATATACTTATATATAAAAATCTAGCGTTTGAACCCCCCCAATCAAAATATCCAAACAAATGGCATTCCAGACTATATATATACTGCTTCAGGACAGAAAACTTGCTTTCCTGGCTTGTTCACCTTTCTATAGTTCTTGACAGTTCCTAATGTTAACTCAACTCACTGGTTCTTCTATACTTCAAATGACAGAAAATTTCTCATTCAAATTCCATGAAAGAGTTCCTCAAATGTTTTAAGAGAGCTACTATGAACCCAAAGTCTTCTCCATATTAATCATTAGTTTCTTCAATTATTTTTCATAAGCAGTAGACTTGTAGTCCTCTAGTACCATGGTTGTTCTTTGAATGGTGTCTAATGTGTCTTTTTTGTTTTTTTCAAACCAGTCTCCACAATGATAAAGGTACAATTCAAACACCAAAAAGAAGACTCATTCCCTGGCTGGTGTGGCTCAGTAGATTGAGCACCAGTCTATGAAACAAAGGGTCACCAGTTCAACTCCCAAGCAGGGCACATGCCTGGGTTGTGGGCCAGGTCCCTAGTATGGGGTGCATGAGAGGTAACCACCCATTGATGTTTCTCACCCTCTTACTTCCTCCCTTCCCCTCTCTCTAAAAATAAATAAAATCTTTAAAAAATAAAGTCCTTTTGATTAAAAAAAAGTTTTTTTTTTGTTTTTTTTTTTAATTTTTATTTATTTATCTTTAGAGGGGAAGGGAAGGAGAGAGGGAGAGAAACATCAATGTATGGTTGCCTTTTGTGCGTCCCCTGCTGGGAACTGGCCTGCAGGGAACTGGCCTGCAACCCTGGTATGTGCCCTGACTGGGATTCGAACTGCGATTGTCTGGTTCGCAGGCCCGCGCTCAATCCACTGAGCTACACCAGCCAGGGCCCAAAAAAGTTTTATGTTGAAAATAATTCAACTATATATTTTTAGAAGATTATCCTGGTGGCAGTTTCAACGCCTATTCCACTTCTACAAGTTTGTTTTCATACAATATACTGTTTTTAAAAAAGAAATTGAAGTGGTTGTTCCCAATCTTCTGTCACCCAATGAAATATCTGCTTTTCTAGAAAAGGTTTATTCCATCTTAACTACTATTAAAATAGTCAATAACTTACATTAACAGATTTTAAACAATTCTTCTAACTTGAAAGGTTACATGTATTCATGAAAAATATGAAAAATAGTAAAAATGCAAATAAATCTCTCATATAATCCTAGCCCCCAGACATAAGCACTATGGTATCTTTTGATATAAATAAGACTAACACAGCTTAATCACCTGTGTTTTATCCACTTAACAATAAATTGTGAGCATTTCATTAACTCCTTTGATAGTACAGTGTTCAATATTTTTGAAGCTGCATTTTCCCCCATGATATGTATATAATATCAAAAAATACATTTAACCCATCCTATATTATTGAACAAGGTCTTTTCTAATTTTTCAATAAATATTTTAATGTGATGAGATACTATTTCTCTACATGTATCTATGTGTGTGTATCTTTGAAATGTACACTAAACATACAAAAATATATCAACAATTTCATATATCTACATGAATGTCTTCTTTAAAACTTACCTTTTTCTTTTTAACATTTCTATCAGGCAGAGGAAAGTGGTCTTCCAGAAACTCACTCAAGGTAAGCAACAGTTTCTCTTTATATTCTTTTACATCACGTAGTTTAGTTTTCAGCTCATTAAAGACTCTAATAAATTTCAACAAAAAAATTAAGAAAAAAATTTCACTGATAAAATACATAAGTATACATAACTGGCTACTAATAAGGTTGATCAAGAACTCTGTTCAAATTTAATTTGCACAAATGAAATATAACTAGTTTTATGAATGTAATATTCTCTATTTAATACACAAACTAAAAATCAAATTATTCATAAAGGGGTAACATAAACACACGGCAAAAGTTAGAAGACTCACAATTTTCTGGTAAAATTTACCTTTTTTCAATATTTCATGTAAAGAAAAGAAAATATTTTCTCCTAGTTTAAAAACCTAGAACACAAAATAATACCTCGATTCAGAAACGGTCACACTCCGACCTTCCGATTCATTCTGCAGTGCCGTCAGAGATTCCAGTACCTGTTGCTGTTCATCCAGCCACAGCTGCTCCCTTCCAACAGAGAAAAACAAAACAAATGGCAGCCAAATAAAACATTAATGCCGATTTGACATATAAATAACTAACAGTAATTATAATAACATAAATATACCTTTCCAAGTCTTCCTTTAGCTTTTCATTCTTTGACTGAATAGTAGATAGTACCAATTCAAGATCATGTCTCAATTTTTGAAACTAAAACAAAATAATTCATATTAATTGCTTATTCTTTAATACTGCAAGTAGCTGTATTTCTCAATGATAGTAAAATTTATGTATAATCCTAAAATTTATATTAAGAATTCAACAGTAAAAAAGCTGAGCGGGAAGTCTTTGAAACAGAAATATACAGCAGGTGCCAAGTTCTCTGAAATATGCCACTGTTAAATTTTAAAAATAGAAGATGGTCCTGGCCAGGGTGGCTCAGCTGGTGGGAGCATCACCACGCAAGGCTGTGGGGTTTGATTTCCTGTCAGGGCACATTCAATCCCTGGTCCAGGTGAGTACTTGAGGCAACCAATTAAAGCTTCCCTGTTGCATCAATAGTTCTCTATCTTCCTACTTCCCTTCTTCTCTTTCAAAGAACTTATATGTATGACCCATGGACATGAACTAAGGGGGGACTCCTAGAGAGAATGGGGGTACCAGGAAGAGGGGGAGAAAAGGGAAAAAATTGGGACAAGTGTAACAGCATAGTCAATAAAATATACTTTTTAAAAAGCAATGAAAAAATGTCCTCAGTGAGGATTTTTAAAAAATGTAAAAAAAAAAAAGATGGGGTTTTTGAGTAATACATTTTAATTTCTAGCTTAAAGGAAATTTAATGAATTTTTCAATAATCAGGTAAATTAGGTGTTTTTTCTAAGAAGACTATACAAAAACAAACACAATGAGTATCATTCATTCAACAAATCTTAATCAATCAGCCAGGCACTGTTGAATGAGTCAGGGATGCAAGAGTGAACTGAACAAAGAGGGGAATCCAGACAAATATTTAATTCCAGGGAGTAATAAGTTCCATGACAAAAAACAAAAAGAAGTCAAACTAAGAATACAGAAAGACAGAACAGGTGTAATAAGCATGATAGGTAGTATGATATGGAAAGATCTCTCTGATCAAGTTAACAGTTTGGCAGCAGAAAAAGAAGACAAGAGAGAAGTCACGTCACTTATCTAGCAGAACAATTTTCCAGAGACAGAAAGAATTTTAATCACATAGTCCTTTAGGCTGGAATATGCTTGACGTAGTTGAAGAAATCAGGTATGACAGTGTGGCAAAAGGAAATTACAATGAATTCTGGACTTTTTCTATTATCCTTTTGTTTCTGAAACACATTAGCTAGTGTGTGATTCTCCCAACATCAAGGGTTACCATTAGCTTTTTCTAAGTGTAAACAATATATCACCTGGACAATATAATAATATACGTTATACATGTTAGAAAATCACACAGAAAATTAAGAGATATAGCTAATAAGCCAACACTGTCAATAAAATGGGTTTATTTTTTCATATACAGAATCCATGAAAGTGGGAAGAGAAAAAATCAGGAACAGAAAAAAGACAGGACAAATGGGAAAGAAAAATCAAGTGTACACATTTCAATGCAATTATACTGATATTACATTAAATATGACCTAATAATAGAATTAAAAATCAATAATAGAAAAATACCTGGAAAAATCTGTAAATAATTGGATACTAAAAACAGACTTCTAAATAATCCATGGGTCAAAGAAGCAATCGACAGAAAATTAAATTATTATAAGCTGTCTTATGAAAACTTTTGGGAGGAAGCAAAGGCAGTTCTCAGATAAGTAAATCACTAAAAGCCTATACTAGAAAAAGGACAGCTCTCAAAATAATGACCTTAGATGTCAAATAAAATAAAAATTAATTGAAAAAATAATGATTACTAGGTCGATGAAATAGAAAAAGAAAAAGAAAAAAAATCAGTGAAACCCAAAGCTGAATTTTTGAAGTCAGTAAAATCATCCAGACTAATTACAGAAGGAAACAAGGACACAAATTAGCAACATTATGAATTAAAAAAGGTAACATTGCTACAAACATTAAAATGGTAATGAGAGAATGCTATGTATAGTTTATGTCAACAGATTTGACAAATTAGATGCCACAAACTCTGAAGACATGAACTACCAAAGCTCATTCAGAGAAGACCTGACTAGCAGTAATGAAACTAAATCTGTAGTTCAAATTTTTCGCACAAAGAAAACTCCAGGCCCAGATGACCACCTAAAATTCAAACACACATCCAAGGACTAATACCAACTCCATAAAAACTCTATGACAGAGAACACTTCTCAATTTCTACGAAGCTGGTATTGCCCTGACACAGATGTCAGGAGAAAAGAAAACTACAGACCAGTATCTCTCATGAACACATATTCAAAAATCTCAATAAAATTTTAGCAAATTAAATCTTTCAATGAATAAAAAAAATTACTATATTACAGCAAAGTGGAATTTATTCCAGGGCTCTACAGTTAAACAACTGAAATCAATTTTTAAAAATCAATGTAATTTGTCTATCAACAAAACAAAAAAACAAAAAAACTTATTCTTAATACAGTCAGAAAGAGTGACAAAACTCACTGTCAATTTATGATTTGAAAAAAAGACTTCATACAATGTAACATAAGGTAATTTCCTCAACTTAATTAAGGGCACCAATGAGAAACCTAGTGCTTACATCACACTAATGCTGACAGAGTGAATGCTACCTGCTCAGATTGAAAACAAAGCAAAAATGTTAATTCTCACTACTGTTATTCAATATATTACTAAATGTCCCAGGATAGTACAGTAAGTTGAGAAAAAGATATAAAAGATATCCAGATAGAAATGAATAAGTGAAACTGCATTTGCTGTCAGACAACATGACTAGCTACAAAGAAAATCAAACAGAATATACAAAAAAAGCTACCAGAATAAAGGAGTTTATCATGTTCCCTAGCTGCAAGATCAATAGCTAACAATTAATTGCATTTGTATGTACGAGAAATAAATAATTGGAAATTGAAAATTTTAAAATATTATTTTAATAGCATCAAAATAAATGAAATACAAAAGAAATTATATGACAAAATATATAAAAGACATCCACACATCAATTACAACTTATGAACTCTTTTTTAAAATCATGAATTAGCCCTAGCTGTGAAGCTCAATTGGCTAGTGCATCACCTGGACATGCCAAGGTTGCAGGTTTGATCCCCAGTCTGGGCACATACAAGAATCTATCTATGAATGAGCGCATAACTAAGTGGAACAACAAAATAGATGCTTCTCTCTGCCTTCTTCCTCCTCTCTCTCAAATGAGTATAATTCTTTTTAAGAAAAATTATAAATTAATATCAAATTTTGTCACTTTTTCTTTCTGAATTCATTGAGATGATCAAGTTATTTTTTCTTTTTTAGTCTGCTGATATAGTGAAGTACAAAATATTGGTGAGGACTTCCGGCAAAGATGGAGGAGTAGGTGGAAACACTGTGCCTCCTCGCATAACCAAGTTTAAAGACAACAAAGCTTTAGTAACAAAAACACAGCCAAAACACAGAAAATTGAACTGTACAGAAGTCCGACAACAACGAACCATTCAGCCAGACCGGTAAGAGGTGCAGAGCCAGCGGCTGGCGGAGCAGGGTTGAGTAGGAAAGATCAGCAGACCGACCCAGGAGCCCAGGCAGTGGTTGGCAGATCCCAGCTGTGGGGTGGCAATGGGTGGACCCAGTGAGGGGGCTGGCTGAATGTGATCACACATTTGCGTACAGATAAACCAAGCAAAGGAGTGAGCAGTTAAACAGACCGCCCAAACCAGCGCCCCAGCGCTGGGAAATAGAGCCTGAAAGCACCAATTGGAAAGACTTTTGGGGTCAAGGGGCTGGGAGAGGCTCCCACACTCACTGAGAGTTTGTTGGAGAGACCCACAGGGTCCTGTGGGGTGCACAGGCCCACACACCCGGGAGCCGGCACTTGGGGGGGAGGCCAGGTTTGTTTGCGGGAAGCAGCAGAGGAAACCAAAATATGATCACACCCCCACATACAGCATTACAACCCAGCATCCTGGGCAGCCCCACCCTGGTGAACACCTAGGGCTCCGCACCTCATGCATAACAGGCGCAAACAGATCAAAACATTATGGCTCAAGCAGAAAAAGAACTCAAAGCCCCAGAGCCAATAATTCTAAGTGACCAAGAGATAGCTAAACTTTCAGATGCACAGTTCAAAACAATGGTGATCAGGATGCTCACAGAACTGGCTGATATTAGTCACAAATTAGAGGAACAAATGAAGGCTAAACTAATTGAAATGATGGGAAATGCACAGGAAACCAATAGTAATGGAAAGGAAACTGGGACTCAAACCAAGGGAGTAGACCAGAAGGCAGAAAAAAATGACCACAGAGAAAAATATGAAGAAACAAGATTCAAAAAAATGAGGAGAGGTTTTAGAAACCTTCAGAACATCTTTAAACGTTCCAACATCCGAATTATAGGGGTACCAGAAGGGGAAGAGGAACAGCCATAAGTGGAACACTTATTTGAACAAATAATTAAGGAGAATTTCCCCAATCTGGCAAAGAAAATATACTTCCAGGAAGTCCAGGAAGCTCAGAGAGTCCCAAAGAAGGTGGACCCAAGGAAGAACACACCAAAGCACATCATAATTATGTTAGCCAAGATGAAAATGAAGGAGAGAATCCTAGAAGCAGCAAGAGATAACGGGACAGTCACCTACAAAGGAGTTCCCATCAGACTGTCTGCAGATTTCTCAAAAGAGACCTTACAGGCAAGAAGGGGCTGCAAAGAAGTATTCCAAATCATGAAATCCAAAGATCTATAACCAAGATTGATCTATCCAGCAAAGCTTTCATTTAGAATGGAAAGGCAGATAAAGTGCTTTTCAGATAAGGTCAAATTCAAGGAGTTCATCATCACCAAGCCCTTATTATATAAAATGTTAAAGGGACTTATCTAAGAAAAAGAAGATAAAAAATATGAATAGTGAAAGGACAGCAAACTCACAGTTATTAAGAACCACACCTAAAACAAAAGCAAACTAAGAGGACAGCTAGATCAGGAGAACCATAGAAATGAAGATCACATGGAGGGTTAGCAACAGGGGAGTGGGAGGAGGAGAAGGTACAGAGAATAAGTAGCATAGATGGCAG